CGCAATAGAACAACCACTGTCAAATCTCTATTACTTTGTTTAGTGAAATTTTGTATCGCTTCTATTTTTTTTTTTTTTTACTATTTTGTATTCTTCAAAAAATTTTTAAAAAATAAACAACAACAAAATAAGCCCAGATATTTCGGTTCAAGAATCAATCTAGATGCTGCGGAAACGATATTGCTCTGGACTTCTATGAAATATAGAAAAATTAGAAAACATAAATATAAAAATAGATTTTGACTCCCTCCCTGATTGAGAAATAGACTTACATATTATTTCTTTAAAAAGAGTTTCTGGGCTTATTTCATTTTTCAAAATGTGATCATTTTTTCAATATTAAGAAAATAATTTTTTAACTAAATGGAACAAATTAACAAATCTGCCTGAACAACAGTTGTCTTCTACGTATTTACTTTTATTACCTTCATTTGGAGCAGATTTTTATTCTTTTTACCTGACACTTTTTCAGTTAAACTACAATTGCCATTGTTGTCTAAGAAGTTATAAATGAACTATAAAACATAACGAATAATTATCTGAAATGTCAAGAGTAATTTTTAAGGTTCCCAAATACAAAGGTAAAAAATACAGAAGTGGTGTGCATGCTTGTAATCCCAGCAAATGGGGAGGCTGAAAACAGGAGGATCACTATGAGTCCGAGCTTCGCAGTGAGACGCTGTACCAAATACATTTTTTGTAAAAAAGGTTAAAAAAAATCATTTAAGAAGGAACACAACTTCTTGATCTCATATAAAGTACTTTTATGTTGCAGTATAAAATATCTTTAAAAATTAAATTGAAAAAATAAAAATTAATACATAGTACACTTCAAAGATATACAAAGAATAAAACCTAAATGAATTAAGTAAAAGGGTAAAATGCTAAATCAGCTAATTAGGAAAATGGTAAATACAAATAAATGACATTAAATAAAAGATAGCATATTAATGATCAAAACAAAGTAAAGCAGTAAAATGCTATGGTCCTATCTAATTAATAAAGTTCACATATTTAGACTTTACTTCTGATATTGAGAATGTAAGAAAATTCACTCTATGCAGTGGTATCTGTGTAAATGGTGTAACAGCATTAATCGCATTTTGAAGGGCTGGCAAGATAGCTCAGTGGACTAAGGGCCTGCTTTGGCAAGAGCAGGGACCAGGGTTCGATCCCCAGTATTACATGCTGTGCTGGCGCTGCCCCCAGGCGTGCTGAGCTGGCCACTGAGACCAGGCATGGTGGTGAACACCTGTAATCCCAGTGCTGGGGAGGCTGAAAACAGGAGGATCACCAACAGTCCGAGCTGTGTAGTGAGACCCAGCAACAACCAAATATATTAAAAACAAAATAAAATTACACATTGAGAATGTCCTCCCAGACACTGCAGCCTCATCATCTCCAAATGCCTGTTCTCATGCAGGCCAAACCAATCCATTCCTGAGTGTGGGTGGCCAGGAGCATGATTATGCTTCTGGACAAGCTGATAGCCAATGCCCACTGGGCACTCTGCCACAAAATTTAGGCCAGGATCGAGACAATGGTGGAGCAGCCATGGCTGGAGGATTACCTCAGGCTGTTCTATGGAGGTTGAGCAATGTTAGACACAGAAAAATGTCGACAAGAGGGTCAGAGAGGTGTACCAAATGTGCTCCATTTCTTGGTAAGTCTAAAGCTATCAGCCTTTTAATTTTCAAGAAATTATCCATCCAGCAGAAAAGTACAAAACGAAGTATAAAAAGTAAAGCCATATTCATATGCTGAGCTGTTAAAGGCTTAAGTCAACAACTTCTGACACTGCCAGTCCTGCGGATAACCCGCTACTAGTATGGACTATTGGACTTTATTAGAATATTTTGCTGAATTCATGCACCTAAAATATTTAAATGACAATACTGACAAAACTAAACAAAAAAACGAGATACAAATGAACGACTATTTTTTACCTGTATATTCAAAATACTTAGGGTAGATACACAGCTATATTCTCTTAATTCAAGGAATAGAAAGATTTGTTCTAATAGTGTTTTTAAACAGGATATCATGTCTGCATCTTGTACAATAAATAACCACTAAAACAATAATATGCAATGTATTAATTATTGAAACTGTCCTACTAATCAGATTTGAAACTATCTCATTGATATTTGTTTCTCAATAAAATTATTGAAAAAAAGAAATTATCATGTCTCCTGATAATAAACAATTTTATTTTGTTCAACTTGTTCATGCTTCAAACCAAACTATTAGTACAACAAATTATCTGAAAAAATGGTTATTTTTCAAGATAATAAGTCTTAAACTAAGTCATTGCACTTTTCAGAAACTACCTTTTTTATTTTTTATTTTTTGCCTTTAAAGAAAACTCAAAATAATCCCATAGATATATTATAATAATACTTCAAAAAATATTCTGGACAAATTGTTAATTGGATTTTTGTTTACAAAAGTGAAAAGCAGAGAGCAACTGAAATACCAAAGAATTTTTAAATGATTTTAATGTAAATCTTGACAGACAGAATTTATTATTATGAAGCAAATTAAGATTGTTTAAAAAAAACTCAATGAAATTGGTAAGAGAACAGCTATAGTATCAAGTGAGAAGATTACAACGGAAATTATTTTCTAGCTTTATTGTATTTTAGCTATATCATTATGGCTTGCCTTTCACAGATCAGATATACAAATTTAAAAACCATACATTTTAGGGCCAGGGATGTAGCGCAGCGGTGTAAGAGCCTGCCTGGCAAACGCAAGGTCTTGAGTTCAATCCCTGGTACCACCAAAAATAAATAAACAAAAACCATACATTTTAAAATGCAATTTTATATTTTTTATTATTTTATTTTATTTTATTTTATTTTGAAGAGTAAAAGCAGGAACAAAAACAAATAGAAAAAAGACAGAAACAGGGTAACATACAACAAGGCATATGTTACAGATTTTCAAAACAGAAACAATGATTGTTATTTATTTTTCTCTTTAAATCTGTTGCTCAGATTAACAGATACAGTTTTATAAGATTGGAGAAATAGTTGAATATTGGAGCTTCCTTTCAAGAAATCTTAAATTTTTTCCTTGGCTTTTTTTGTTTTAATTTATTTTAAAGAGAGACAATAATCAATAAGACATTTGGAATGGTACACATTTAGAAGACCAAGATGAGATTTATTCAACCAAGGGTTTTATATTACACATTGCTGTCCTCAATGTAGTTGCTCAGATCACAGATATCAGCATACAGAATTAGTCAAGGTGAAAATTCTAAACATTACCTGCTATTTTCAAAAAATTCTGATGGAAATGATGAGTACAATCATCTCAGCCATCTTCTATATATACTTGCATGCTTTTCCCTTCTTCCTTTTTTCCTATCTTTTCTCTTCTCCTATACAATATTTAATCCTTAAGTTCAGTTTCTTTCTGTTTTACTATATCTATTATACCATTCAATTTTTATTAATTTCATAATTTTAAATATACAAAATTGCTAAGCAAGACCTGTATTATTGCTGGGCAGATTCAATGATACTCTCTCCATTATTTGGTTGATGTATCTTACAAAATTATTCCAATGATTTTGAGCAGTAATAGAAAATATTAAGGGAAGTTCTTCAACATAAATATTATTTAGCTTAACCACTTAAATAATTAATCCCAAATAAAATTATTTTTATTTAATTTCTTTAGGTGGTCTCTACAAATACATTGAAAAACTATTTTTGTGTGTATGTGAAATCTAAACATGGCCAGAGTTCTGAAAGAGTGCAATGGATGATTTTGATCACCTATAACTTTTTCTCTTTAGAAAAGAGTAATGGAGCCCCAAATTCAGAATGAAAAATAACACTTTTATAATAAGTAAGTATTTTTATGCAAAATCTAATGACAGTCAACCCTTAACAAAGTTTTCCTAAAATATTAAAAAATATTTAAATGACTTCAAGATTTACTCCCATTCACGTTCACATTAATATTAAATTTGGCATAAAGCAAGCAATTCCACATTAAAAAAAAAAAAATCAGTCTGCCGAAGAACGACCCTAGCTCACATCAGTAATATCTGATGCCTGTCACATTAGTTCCATTCTCCATAACACCCTCGTAAGCGTGTTCTGTGTGATACTACCTTCACTCTGTTTTTCTCCAGTACTGGGAATCGAACTCAGGACCTCACACTTACCAGGCAGGGGCTGTGCTGCTGAGCTATATACCTGCTGCCATTCGCTCTTGCAGCATAGAAATCAAGTATGATGGAAATCATAATTATTAAAAATCCCAATGATATTTATCTTACATCCGCTATAGTCAGCATGTATCTTTTGTTCTGTCACATCAGTATATTCTGTGTGGAAGGTCTGCGTTCAAAGATACATCCACCGTAAACAGACTTATTAGAACATGAGCTCCCTGAATGTTGGATTCTTGAAGAGCAAATTGAATCCACAGATGCAATCATTTGGACTCACTTTCCGTACACATTACTACACTGTATTCGTTTCTAAAGATTATTCAGTTATAGTAGCAATTAGGTGGGTTTTAATGGTTTTCAAATGTGCGTTGTGGACTTTAAATTAGTAACTGATAGCACTCATTTTCATATTTTTCTCACGCATTTCTCATTCTCAACTTAAACATTAAAACTCTTAAAAGCGTGTAATACACAATTTCTTATTTCAAGTTATTCAGCAGATTTAATAAGTTATCCAGAATTAGAATATCTCCTCTTAGCCTTATCTCTTCAGAGACACTTTTGCGAAGTTCTTGACTCCACTCTGAAAGGTTGGCGTCACCCAAGTTGTCCGAGCTCTAGATTTCTCCCTCCCTTAAATCCGCATCAAGAGCCAGCTTCTTTCTTCGGCACAGATGGGTGCCGCTGAGCAAGGCGACGTCCCGGGAGACGGGGCAGCGCTGCTGGGGAAAGGCCATTCACATGCATGAGGGGATTTCCTCGCAGGATAAGCAGCAGCGCGCCCGCGGCCGGCCGCGGCTTCGGCTCGCTGATGTATATATGCAGGTAGCGAGAACCGAGCTAGCCCTGCCGCAGGTAACAAAATAAAACTGATTTGGGCAGCAGCAGCTCTTTCTTTTCTGCTCGTGCGTGGGAATGAGTTGCCAATCTTTCCCTGCGGCCGACACCTTTATACCTCTGAATTCCGACGCTTCTGCAGCTCTGCCTCTGATAATGCACCACAGCGCGGCTGAGTGTCTCCCCGGCTCCAACCCCGGCCCCAGCGTGATGACCACAGGTACCGCCCGGGACGCCCGCTCGGCCGCAGGTCCCAGCGGGCGCTCTGAGTCTTCTCAGTTAGGGCTTGCGTGCCTTGTTTCATCTTCCCCCTTCAGTTTAATTGGTTTTAAATTAAATGCTAATAATATTAAAGAGGATAAAATGCCTAAGAATTTTTTTTCATTAGCAAGGGAAATCATTTAGATGATTAATGGTCTTACCATAATAAAATGTGTTTTCTATGTAAGAAAACACTGAACTTAATGGAAATATTTATGGGTAAATGACAAATTCAAATAAATATTCTAAAAGAGTTTGAAGTTTAATACATGGCACTTCTTTAAAGATTTACTTGATTTTTAGATGACATTTACTATTATCTAAAAATAGAATATATAAAATTTGTAATAAATACACCAAATTAATTTTCAATACCAATCAAAATGGATTTTAAAGAACACAATCATTACATTTTAATAAACAATTTAGCATGATATTAAATTTAAGGCAAAACTAATGAATCAAGGTTGTTATTTTTTTTTTCAAGATTGTGTTCTGAAGAGCCTAATCTGTATAAACAGATTATATATTTGTTTTAGTTGACTTTCTTAAATAAAAATTCGATTTCAATATTCAAAATTATTGTCTGAGTGCAAACAGATGCATATTTTATAATACATTCATCCTTTATACAATAACAAAGAAACTATTCCAACTCATTTATAAATGGATAAAGCCTTTGAGAAAATTTCTTCCATTAAGTAGCAGCATATTATTCACTCTCTATTTGTTTAAATGCAATGTGCCTCATACTTGGAAGGGGAATAATATTTTGTACATTCAAATACAAAGGCTTGGGTTTATACCTTTATATTCTGGTGGAATACATTTAACATCTATTCTACATTAAAATTAGACATTTTCAAGCATATGTTTAAGTCTGACATCACTTTAAGGCCAACTTTAAAGATTCTAGACATTAGCTACTTAGGCTTTTGGAAAATCATTTAATATAGAGAGTTTTTTTCATTTGTTGAAGAATTATATAATTAGATTAAACAATTATATTTGAAATACCTCAACATATTTTTGAAATGTAGGAGCAATGTGTTTTCAATAAAAATATACAGTATAAATGACTTAAAAACTATTACATAACTAAGCATATATTTAAATGTAAATACATATATTTAGGATAGAGAGTGATACATTGTTTCTTTAATCCATTGTGTATAGAGAAAATACAGCAATAAAATAAAATTTAGATTGAGGTAAAGTTCTCACAAAGAAACGTACTATATTCATAACTCAACTTTGTAAAATCAGAGAAACAAAAATATTTAAATCTTGGGAGTAAAAAAGAAATCACCAGTAAAAATGACCTTCAAACAGTTTTCATTGACTTATACTTTCCTACAAAATTGTAATTATATCCACCTAACTGTTGAGGACATAATGACAAATACTGGCTCTAATTAGCACACTTGCATATTAAATGTTCCAACATCCATTTGTTTCATTTTTAAATGAATAGTAGCATTTTTGTGTGATCACTATGTTGCGATCACTTTAATTCTTTTAATGTCTGTTATGAAGTGAGAACACACGCAGATTTTTAAAAATCAAAAATTACTCTCTACGGAGACAAAACACATTTTTTAATGAACAGACCTCATGTCTTCAATCGTTACATCATACCTCAAAATTCTGAAAGGATCCACATGCTCTGCTACATAATATCTCATTCGAGAAGATAGATTTATCTGATACCCATGACAATCTGCCGCTGTGTTCAGAATGTGAAGAGAAGTGAAGCAACTCACACTGGAATATGGACCAGCGGTTTTATTGTCAGTCATTCCAGCTCTAATTCAACTTGATTTCTGCTCAAAACTTGATGGAAGTTTAGTAATTCCAATTTTCTATCAAATTATACAACGATTCCATGAAGCACATGAAGTAACAGTGTGATTCTGTTTATATAAAGCTTTAGCATATTCTTATTCATCGATGAATTTATTTTTGATGAAGTTTTAGTATTAGAAGTGTTGTCACGTGCATGCAGGATACATGCAACCTCATGGATTCAGCCACGGCATAAACACGGAACAGGGTCACAGGGTTTTCCTAACATCCTTGAAGATAATGAGATTGTTACAATTGTACCCATAAGAATAGTTTTCAAGACTCTCTGAGGTGTGTTAGGATCATACACAAAAGCAGAGAATATTCTAGAGTCATTTTCAGTATTACTCCAGAGAAAAACCTTCATAACACTAAGCAAAGCAAGAATATTAAGACACTAGTCTCTACTCAGTTTATTGCAGTATCTGTAATGGTTGGAACCTACAAGCATTGACTTTAGTCACATCCAAATTGGCCAGTCACCCCTTCCCAGGGCACTTGCAGCCACAGCACAGACAACGAGGTAATTAAGGAAGGCCACCATCCTCTTTGAGGCAAACTTTGACCCCTCGTTTACGTACTCACTGAAACTCTTCCTATTTAGAAGAACTTAGTGGCATAAAACTTTAAGGCTCATGCAAATGTATATCTCTGAAATGAACTGAATGTGTCTTGAATCCTCAGACGTTTTCTTACCAGTCCCATCTATTTTGTCTTTGATTCGAACTCCTAAATATTTGCACATATATTTCCCGGTGACAACATTGGAAAACACAGCAACAGGATTGCATTATTCTGTTCCTTCTTGCCACTATGGAAACCAGCCATCAACCTATGGAGTGATGGCAGGTAAGAAAATTTAACTTTATATATGATGTTGAATTTGGGGACACTTTGATGGATTTTCTGGATCTGAGATTGTCATAAGCAGAGTATGATGCGAAACTGATTCCTAAGCTTGGAAATTACTGGTCTAAATCATCACTGACTGAGAGGTTTCCTTATCTGTAAGGCTGTCAAAGACCAAAGCGATTAACCTGATGGCCTTTGCGGCACATCTCTCAACTGCAGTGCTACTGAAAAAACTCCTGTTGGCTCTGCGTGATCTTTGTTGGAATTTACTACTGTCAAACTGCTAACATTAACTTCCACTTGATGTTATTGTGGGCTTGCTTTTAATAATAGTATGATAGTGACCAACTTCATACAGCCACCCAAACTTAAATGTAAATTAACTAAAATAAAGTAAAATGCAAAATGCAGTTGCACTCGCTTGATTTCAAGTGCTGGCTAGTGGCTGTCATGTTAGACACAACACATGTGTGGAATATGTCACTGTCATTACAGTATTTCTTTGGAATATTTTTCCCTAAAAATAAGTAAGCTACTGACTTGAGGCTAAGATATTTAGAGGGACTTTAGTGATAACTATTTTAGCTTTAGCAGCCTTTTTCTGAATTGCTTCTAAGTCTTCACTAATGTTGAAATAAATGAAATTACATATTTTTCTCTCCTGGATAAGTCAGGTATTACTATTTCCAGTACAGCTGTTTCATTGTCAATACTTATATGAATGCAACAATAATATGCTTTTTAAGAAGTGGGCAAATGTAGGCTGTGAGATACACTCATGAAAAACTTATTGCTTAATTTCAGGGAAGGGCCAGATAGAAGATTTTAGTGGCTTAATAAATTGTATAGCATGTTATGCAGATATCTACTTCTGCTTTACTTTAAAGAAATTCTTTGTCTTTATTTATTATTATAGCTGAAAAGGAATTCTTATCAATGGGATTAAACTAAGGTTTAGAGAATGTGTGTGTGTGTGTACGTGTGTGTGTGTGTGTGTGTGTGTGATATTGTTAAAGAAATGTTGTATAAAAGAATCATATGTTAGTGAAATCTTTGCTAACTTGTTAGGCCTAGAATCTTAAGATAAAACAGTTTTCCTCACTAATCTTTAGTTTTTCAAAATTTTCTCAGCTTGACTCCATAAACAATGAAACTTTAAAATAGTTCAGAAAAATTTTAGTTTCTCTTACATTGTCAGGAAGCTGTTCTGAATAAACCAAAGTCATGCTTTTTATAGTGCCGTGAAGACTCTTAATGATGCGCCATGAGGTCTGGCTTCTCTTTTTAATAACTCACAAATAAGGGAAGATAAATTTATTCTTCTCTGTAAGCTGATCATTTATGATTCATTTATTAATCAGTGCTTATAGCTAATGAGAACAGCCTTACTCAGTGATGAACTGCTTTCATTAGAAAATGGTAAAATACACGCATTTAGCTACCGGAGGCTCAAGGGGAAACTTTCTCTAGCCTTTACAGCATTTTCATGATGCCCACAGGATGTGGCAAGGACGTGGCCATTCCTGCTGTCTCCTGCAGGCGGGTATGTGTAGGGATTCCCAAGAACCAAGGTACAGCTTTAGTTTCTTTTTCTTTTTAATTTTTAAATTCTTTAATTCACTTTAATGAGGAAAAAAACAGCAATGAAACACTCTCAAAACAGGTTAGTAGGACAGTTACAACAATTAATACATTGCGTATTGTTGTCTTCGTAGTAGTTATTCAGAGTGCAGGATGCAGACATGATGTCTTGCCTAAACAATATTAGTATAAACCTTTCTTCTCTTTGAACTAAGAGAAAGCAGCTGTATATCTATCCTATCTATTTTTCATATACATATTTTTTTGTTCACTACAAAATGGTCTTTCATTTATATCCCTCTTTTGTGTTGTTTTGTCAGAGATGGGGGTTCCATTATTGTTAGAGAAGCTGTATTTGGAGAGGTCTTTAAAGGACCTTTTCATACTTCATGCCAGTTCAAATATTGTAAGTAGTTGAATTCAGCAAAATAACCCAATATAATCCAAAAGCCATAATAGTAGTGGGTTATCAGCAGAACTGGCAATTGTCAGAAATTGCTGACTTGAGCCTTTTACAGCTCAGCATACTAATATGGCTTTACTTTTTATACCTCTTGGTTACACTTTTCTGCTGGATGGTTAAGACCAAGTTAAAGCAAGACCCATACAACTAAAAATGTAACTTGCGTATCTGACAAGGTCATTCAAATCCCCTCAGGATTTACTCTGAAACCATGTACAGCACCTCGGAGACTTTTGTCAGTGTCAGCCATCTACATGAGTCACAGCCATTGCTTGACCAGTTTGCTCTCTGTGAAAGCCTGAGAGAATATTTTTCTCCCTAGGTGACTCTCCTTAGGCACACCCTACATCATCGATCACTCTCCTCTGTGGCCCCATAACCTCTTTCAACAGAGAATTTGGGACACCAATGACTTATAGGATGTCACAGCACAGTTCTCTTGTGTCCTGAGTCCTCACTGACCTTGGGTTTCTCTTTTAACTTAGCAGAACGAGTCCCTGTCCATTGGTCACAGAAATCATAAAGATAAAACCAATCACAGACCAGAGGCCAATAATCTTTTGCCCCAGTTCTTTTAGATGGCTTTTACGGCTCCCTCCCTTCTCATTAAGACAAAAGGAGCTGGCAGCTGGCCTCAGCCTCCTGCCATCCACCCATCCCCAGGGCAGGAGCCCACAGGGCCACTCTCTCAGTCAACAGGCAGCTCAGGTCTGCTGACACAGCTCCATCAAGAAGGCGCTCAACAAACTCCCTTGCTTTAACAAAGTCTTCCTCACTGCAATCCAAAAGGAAAGGATCCTGGAGACAGAATTCAAAGCCTGACTCAGTGACATTAAGAGCAAACTTTTAATCCCAAGATTTGGAGGCATCATTGTGGACTGAACATTAAAGATGTTTCGTCATCAAAAGAAAAACCATGGCAAACATAGAGATTGTATTGGAGTATTTTGAGTGAGGTATTATTAAAATGTGATATGCATTAGATGTCAGAATATCTATACTTTCAGCATTAACATTTGCTTCATGGCATACTGAATCCTAGAGAATTTGAATTTTCCTGCCTTCCTCCCTAGAGAACCTGCACAAATTGAGTTATAAAATACGGAACTCAGAAATAAGAGCAAAAAGGTATAAAATACGCAGTAGAAACCAGGTTACATCACTAGAATATTCTGAGAAGTCTCAAGGCAATAATTAAATCAGACACTTGCACACCACCCACCCAAGCAAGACAACACAGCAGCTTCAGTGTCAGACACTGCATATGAAGGCAGAGCTACAAAAGGAACCAGGTTTCAGGGGACGTGAAACTACCATTTTAGTATGGTGATTTTAATACCCACACTCTGATGCTTTAGTTGGAGCATTTTCTTAGGCTAGTTCACAGGAAGGGAAGAGTTACAGCTGACACTCTTGTCAGGCTAGTATGGAAGATTTTAATCATCAGGTCCAGCTGTACCTCACAGCTCTAGCTTCTAACACGAGTGAATAATTACAGTGTTATTGTTTGAACCTATTTAATGTAGCCAAATGTGCTTACAAACAAGGAAAACGCTTAGAGAAGTCATTTCAGTTACCTCATCACTCTCTGAAAATAAGCTAGGTAAGTATTTTGATGTGGCTTATTCTAATGCTGGCTGGACCCCAGTTCTAGTCCCTGTTGTGTGAAAGCCATCGTAGAACTGAAGGACAGTTATTTAATGTCTCTGGAAATTTCTGTGAACTGTGGAGCAAACACAACATGACCTCCCTTCCCTCACTGCCTGTTGACATAAGGACAGGGTGCAGGGCATGTGAAACAAGCACAGCCTCACAAGTGACACAGAGCAGCAGCGTGTGATCATGGTTGGCAAGAAGCGTTGAACGAAAATGTTACTCACAGACAAAGACCTCATGGGATAGGATGTAAAAGATATAAAACAGTGTGCCTGGATAATTTAGGTTTGTAAAAGTAGCATTTTTCAGGACAAAAATTGTTTCTTTGAAATTTTTGCCACACTTGTAGAACAGCTCTGTTGGTTTAATCTCTTACTCCCAGGTTTCCTTTTCTTTAGAAAAATGTGTTCTACTGCATAGGCATATACAATCTAATCACATTTTCTCATGTAAATAATGTAAACTAATAGTTTGCTGACTTATACTATTTTTGTTCATTACACATTGATATATGAATGAAAGATTTATGTTACATTATTACTCATGGCCTTGATTTGTGAATATAGTTACTGATTTATTCATATTCTACAGGAAGCCTGAACTTAATGTATTTTTCCATTTAGTTTCAGAAACTAATATTACATGTATTATATGATAACTAGTTTTTGAGGACTTAGTCATATTCATAAGGAAGGTGATTATTCAGTATTTATCAAAATGCTTCACAATTCATGGCATTCAATGGAAAAGAAAGTGTCAATACAAATTATATCAATGAAGAAAATTAAAAGAAATGTCTTGCAGTTTATGTCCCACCCTCTCACCTGTACTTTTTTTTTT